CAGCACTTCATAGCTGTAGAGGAAGATGCAGAGTCAGAAGAGGAAGAAGAAGAAAACCTGAAATTCTTAAGTATATCTGGAAAGCAATCTGCCCCTGGAGGTGGTAGCAAGGTTCCACAGAAGAAAGTAAAACTTGCTGCAGCTGAAGATAAGGCTGATGAAGATGATGCTGCTTTTGAAGATGAGGAAACAGAAGAAAAATCTCCAGTGAAGAAATCTATATGAGAAACTCCTGGCAAACATGCATGAGAATCAAATCAGAATGAAAAAGACTCAAAACTATCAACACAAGATCAAAAGGTCAAGAATCGTTTAAAAAATAGGAAAAAACTCCTAAAACAGCAAAAGGACCTAGTTCTGTAGAAGACATTAAAGCAAAAATGCAAGCAAGTATAGAAGAAGCACATTGAACAGTCCTGAGCATTACTGGTAAATTAAACCCAAAGATGGAGAGAGAGGAAAAGAGAGAAAAATATAGTCCATACTGAGTATCATCAACAGTCCAGTCTGAAGTCTTCTATTTTAATCTCATTCCCCTTTCCTGATTTGCCATCCACACCCACTTCCAGGCTGGAAGCAATCTCTTTCCCACAGCACTTTCGACGGCTGTGATTCAGTGAACCTCACACTTTGCTTTCTATTACTTGTACATCTGCCTCGCCCTTTGACCATGTTTTAATCACCTTTGTATTGCTATAGCTGCTCAATAAATATTTGAATGAATAAAAAAAAACCCTGAAGTTTAAGGGCTAGCAGGTAGTGTAGTGTAGTGGTTAAGGCACTGGACTCCCATGTGGCTGATCAAAGTTCAGGTCTTAGACCCGGCAGCTTGAAACTCATGCCGTGTGTGTGTGTGCACGCCCAAAATCCTGGGAAGAGAACAGAGGAGAAGGGATTGTGGCATGGCCATCCCCCCTGTGGGGTGATTTCTGTCCCTCCATTTCTCTCTGTCTCTCTGGCAAGCAGACGCACCCTGTAACAAAAATCTCTCTGAAAAAAAATTATAAGTATTGGGTCCAACAGGTAGCATAATAGCTATGTTGCTGGACTCCCATATAGTCAACCATGGTTCAAGTCCCAGACCCGGTGGCTTAAACTCACTCTGGGCACACACGCGTGCATGCCCAAGATCCCAAGAGGAGAATGGAGGAGAAGGGATTGCAGTGTGGCCATTCCCCTGGGGAGTGATTTCTCGCTGTCTCTCTGTCTCTCTCTATCTTTCTGGTGAGCACATGCAAAAACATCTCAAAAAAAATTGTAAGTATGTAAACATCTCAAAAAAAATTTTTAAGTATGTAAGTTTACAAGAAAAACAACTGAAATCAGAATGGATTTCTATAAGTTGTCGATTGAGTTCCTTAAGCCATATCTTTTCTACTTCACTACTGCCCTCATTCAGAAAAATATCTGGAGATAAAAACAACTGTCATAAAAATGTTTTTTTTTTAAATCTATAGCAAATATCTCAATTGAAGAAGACAGGTTCAGAGGAAGATATTGCCATGCCCAAGACACGTGCTGTGCTGTTACCTAAGACAGAGATGTGAATGGAAGGTATAGCAGCTCTACAAATGGTTTCTAAAAATCACTGTGCTTATGGAGACTGTGTCTAGCCTGCAAATTGTATAATCTCCTAACATGGATTTGAATGTAGGTTAGTCTCTTTCCATCTCAATCTAGAGAGAACAGAACAGATAAATCTTTCTGTTAGAAATAGCATGTAACGCACACACACACACATCCTCATTTATGTTGCTTTCATGGAACATAGCATATTCTCCCCAGTAGATGGACAATTAAATTAGAATACATAGAAGAGCAGAAATCAAATGTCATTCTACTTGCAATTGCAACTTGATATTTCTTAGCTTTGCTATAATATCCGGTAGGGCATGGACACATATACAAAAGATTTTATAACTGCTAGGACCAGCAGATGGCATAATGGTTATGTCACTGGACTTCCACATAGTAGACCGTGGTTCAAGTCTTGGACCCAGTGGCTTAAAATTCACATCAGGCGGGACCAGCAGGTGGCATGGTGGTTAAGGTGCTGGACACTCCCACATGGCCAACCACAGTTCAAGTCCCAGGCCTGGTGGCTTGATTTCCCACTTTGCTTCTCTCTGTGTCTCTGTCTCTGGTTAAATTGAAAATAAAAAATGAATGAATAAATAAAATTAAATAATTATTTTTTTAAAAAATTCACATCAGGTATGCGTGTGTTCATGCTCAAAATTCTAAGAGACAAGAGGAGAAGGGATTGTGGTGTGGCCATTTCCCCTGGGGGTAACTTCTCACTTTTTGTCTCTCTGTCTCTCTCTGTCTCTCTGTTAAGCACGGGCACCCTATAGCAAAAATCTCTTTAAAAAAAAAAGATTTTGTAACTGCTGCCTTTTTGCTTTCAATGGCTTCTTTGAAAGCCACATACACATGCTCTACAATAAACATATGCAGGTAGCAGATACAGAGAAATCTATAATGCTTAAAATGTTGCTAAAATTGTGCCTGTTAGTGTTCTGTAGAGACAAATATAAAATAGGTAGCTTTGGAGGAGAGACTGACCAGGTAGGCACATGAAGAAGCTTTCTGGAAGTATGCTATACCTTAATCTGGATGAGGATTATATGAAGCCATATGTAGGTAAAAAGTTATCAAGCTGGAAAGTTAAAGCTTGTGTGCTTTAAGTTATACATTAATAACAATGTTTACTTCTGCCTGCTAAGTGTATTCAAATCCTGATCAAAATTGGTAAAGCAATAATACAAATATCAATACATCAAGTCATAGAGGAATAATTTATAAATTAATAAATAAGAATGAATAAAATGATTGTATTTTTAAAGTTATGACATCTCTAGATGCCTGTATATAATTGTTAAAATATCCCACATGACCATGAAGATGGATTATCCATAAAAGCATATCTAATTATTTGTTGCCAGCAGTTGAATATGAAAAACCAACAGGGTGGAAAAAATATTATATTCTAAAACCTAATTCCTTTCAACTGCATACTCACAAAGAGCACAGGGGGAACAAAGCCAACTCCTGTTGAACACCAGACACACCTCCCCTTCAAAGCCACCAACAACTAGCTCCTGGATTTTGAGGCCCCAGAGGCAGTTGTGCTGCAGCTGGTGAAGGTGAATCATGGCTTCTCTGTCTCAGTCAGGCCTGAATGCTGAATTCAACTGCAGAACGCACTATGTCAAATGTCCATCCTGGGGGCCCAAAACGGAGGTCAGTGTGGAAGGGAATACCATCCTGACTTCTCACTTTCCACTTGCATACAAATCACAGGAAAAAACAGATCATTGACAGGGCTGGGGCCCAGATTCTCTGGGCCCAACTCTTTCTGTTTCCACCACTGTAAACCTGGAAGGAAAGTCTTTGAAATTGGCCCACTGTTAAGAAAAATTCAGAAATCCTTTAGAGCAAAACCGATCCTCATATACTATCTCAAGCAAACTTCACTTTCCGTCTGAATAAAATTGTGGGACTAAATTATTAATGGCATAATTTATATTTTTTTTCTCACTGACTCTCTGAAATCCAAGGAGGGCCTTACACTAATTATATACCTCAGGTTTTTTTTGGGGGGGAGGGGGTTTGGGGAGGTTTTTGCTATAGGGTGCATGTGCTCGGGAGAAAGACAGAGAGAGAGAGAGACAGAAAGTGAGAAATCACCCCCTGGGGGCATAGCCACGCCGCAATCCCTTCTTCCCCATTCTCTTCTTGGGATCTTGGAAACAGGACCTTACAAAATATTGGCTGTTATTTAAATGACTTATTAAAATCAGCATAAATCAGATTAAGAAGAGAAAATACCTTCAACAAATATCAGTGAGGGCCATCTGAGTTGGCGAGCAGTGATGCAACACTCTGTGATGCTGAGTGTGTGAGGTCTCCCCGTATACAATAGGCACGCGTGTGTGTGCCTGTGCTTGGGACTGGCTGAACCTGAGACTGGATCACAGACCCTATTGTGGGTGTTTGCGTGTGGGTTCTGTCTTACTCACAGAAGCAATAAACAAACTTACAAACATTTTTTTGAGGACTTTATGAACCTAGACACCTCTAGACAAGGCGCATGTTCTCATGGAGCTTATATCCTAGAGGTAGGGTAGCAGAAGGTAAGCACACCCACAAATAAATTAATAAGATAATTTCAGACACTAATAAGTTGACAACTCATACATCATACTTTCCCCTCACTGCCCCATGACAAACATAAGTGATTAATCACGGCACTCTCTTCCCGAGCCCAGACTCAGAGTCATAACCCTTTTCAACGTAGCATTCTAGGCATTGGAATCTATTAAAGCTGTCATGTCAGTGAGGTTTATTTGCCATCCTAGACACAGACCCTTTTGTGGAACAATTCTTTTCAAGTGCCAGGACTACCTCTAGCAGATATAAGCCCAAACCACCTTCCAGTATCTCTAGAATTTCAAACCTGTGTAAATATAGAAGTGCATTTTGGAAATGACTATCAATAAATATAAAATATAAATATATTTATATAAATGTAAAACATAAAAATATAAATAACAACTGCATTTACTCCCTTCAAATAATTCTTTCTAAAATATTTCTCAAGTCCAGCCCCATAGCGAAGTGGTTACGTGCTGTACTTTGGGAGCCAAACCCCGCATGGACAATTGCTGTTTGAGTCCTGGCCCCAGTAGCTTGAAAAACACAATGAGTGCATGTGTGTGTGTGCATGCCCAAAATCCTGCTGGTAAGTCAGAATGGGTGAGAGAGGATGAAAGTATGGTGGCAGCCACACACCGTTGGGGTGAGCTCTCCCTCTCTCTAATGAGCATAAGTGCTCTCTGGAAATAAAAATTTTTTTTCTCAAAATTTCAAAGGATTATACATTTGTTCTTAATAGAAAAGAAATCCCTTCTATGCATTGCTCACAGAGTAGAACAAATATTTATATTTATATATTTATTTATAATTTTAAATAAATTAACTCATGGACTTGTGCAGTCTGGCAGGTCCGAAAGCCATAGCAAGGCAAGTCAGCAGGCTGGAACTCTTGCATAAGGGTTGATGCTGTAGCCTTCAGGAGTAATTTCTTCTCTGAAGAAGCATAGTTTTTGTTTTCAAGGCTGTCAAGTGATTGAATAAAATTCACCCACATTATGAAAGGTAATCTCTTTTATCTAAAGTCAACTGAATATAGATGCTAAGCACATTTATAAAATACTTTCATAGCAACACATAAGTTAATGTTAAATTAAATACCTGTGTACTGTAGCCCAGCCAAGCTGACACAAAACTAACCATTACCACCCTCCACTTGTCAATTTGGCAAACACACACATGAGCTCATACTTAATCACCAGAATAAGAAATAACAATGTCATTCTACCACTTAACATGATATAGTTATCCAAGACATAGATTTTAGAATGCACGAACCCTTCCCCAGAAGAGAGTGCAAAGTCCCTGGGTGATACCCACTCTTCGCCTTGATATCCTTTAACTGAAAAACTGTGCTGTAAAACTGACTATTATTAATATATATCATGTACTATAATAAGACAATGAGAGAAGTAAAAAACCATATTTCTTACAGGTAGATGCTCACAAATAGATTCATAACAAAATAAGGAAAAATAGTGTTAACTATTACAGTGTTCACATTGTCTCTCTCTCTGTCTCTCTCTCTCTCTCTTTCTCCTTCTCTAGTCAAATTAAAATAAATAAATAAATAAATAAGGTTAAATAAAATATTTTTTTTTAAAAAGTAACCAGCTTGTATTAGTGTTCTCTAGGCAAGCAAACCAATGGGAGAGAAGGACTTTCTCCTTCTCTAGTCAAATTAAAATAAATAAATAAATAAATAAGGTTAAATAAAATATTTTTTTAAAGTAACCAGCTTGTATTAGTCTTCTCTAGGCAAGCAAACCAATGGAAGAAAAGGAGATTTATTATAAGAAAAGTATACAAGTTGAGAAATCCTATGATATGCTATCTACAAGTTACAGACTCAGAAAAGCTAACAATCTACTTCAGCTGACGATATATCTTTTACTTCAAAGGCCTTAGAACCAGGAGAGCCAATAGTGTAGATTCCAGACTGGGGGCAGAAAACCAATGTACCAGCTCACCAGGCAAAGGAGTAATAAATTCTCCCTTCTTCCATCTTTTGTTTGTTCAGGCTTTCAAAATATTTGAAGATACCTACCCACACTGAGGAGGGTAATCTGCATTATTGAGTCAACTGATTCAGATGCTAAACTCAACCCAAACACCCTCACAGGCACACTCAGAAACAATGCTTAGCCACATATCTTGGCACCCTGTGGTCCAGTTAAGCTAACTATAAAAATTAAACATAACATAATCAGTCTCATTATACTTAATTTGATAATAATGTCCCAAAGTTTCAAATACATGGTTATCCAGAATCTTACCTCTTAGAAATACTTAATTAGGAATAGCCAGTGGCAATATTTTGTGTATCTCAGTTGCCATGTCAATCCATGGATTGTCATTGTTACCTTTACCACTGGAAATAGTTACTAAATTTAATATTACATAACCAGTTTACAAAACTCTTTCTTAAAATGAGTTCCTCTAGAGACATTCTCAGTACTAAAATATACATCAATCATTCAAAGTTTCCCAGAGAAAAAGAACCAGTAGGAGAGAGACAGAGAAAGGTTTCAAAGGATGGGCTTAGAAAATTGTGGGGGTTGGGGCCAGCCATGGTGGTGTGACTGTAATGGAACACTCTGGTATGTTAAAGTCACATGGGAAGGCCCCAGGTTTATATCCTGAGCTCTGCCTATACTAACACCAGGCCCACGCATGTGTGCCCACAATCCTGGTGAGCCAAGGTGAAGGGTAGAATGCTGTGTGCTTGGGGTGCCTCTCTCTCCCCTATAAGAGAAATAAATAAATTAACTTTTTGAAAAAGATTGTGGAGGCTGGCAAGCCTGACATTCATAGGGCAGACTGATAAGCTGGAAACTCTGCAGTGCGAATTGATGCTATAATCTTGAGGCAGAATTTCTTCTTTAGTAGGGAAACCTTGGTTTTGCTAATTAGGACTTTCAACTGATTAAATGAGGCCCACTCACAATACTAAGAATAATTTCCTTTACTTAAAGTCAGTAGCTGTTCACCACATTTACAAAATACCTTTACAGTAACACATAGATTAACATTTGATTAAATAACTGCATATAGAGACTAGCCAATTTGACACATAAAGCTAACCCTCGCAATCTCCAGTAGTGATTTCTGCTTTCATTATATGAAGCAAATATCATAATTAATTTGGTCATCACAAGTTTTGTCTAACCTATATTCTATGCTCCTAGTCCTCCCAAAATCTTGAGGAAAATCATTTAAATTTTATTTACATGAATAGTACTATCACAGTTGAACACTACGTACAGAGCCAACAATCTCATACATAACAGCTCTACCATTAGGAAAAAAATAAAAAAGTAGTGACTTGTGAGTAATGTTTTGAAAATATCTATTTATATCCAAGAATTGCCAGAAATAACAGCCAAATTAATAATTAAACAGAAAACTTTTATTGCAAAAGGAACAAAGCTAAAATAAATAGGACCTATCTGAAACTTTTCAATATACAAATTCATAGAGCTTTTATTTAACTGAACAGTTATTACAATAATAACTAACAATCTGACATTTTCCAAGTCCCCAGGAGCTCCTTGCCTTTAAATTTGAGAATGCTGGCAAGGATAGCCTGTGTGGGAGGAAGGAAGAAAGAAATCAATGGAAAACTGGGAAAACATAAGGTTGGTGGGAAATACTCTGATTTGTTTGTATTATTACATGCGGAGAAATGGATTTTTACAGTCATAAACTCATATATGCAAAACCACATTTTTATTTTCCTATAACTGAATTACATTTCTCCTCCAAGCTTTCATTGTCATCTAACAGCAGAAAGTTTAAGCTAATAATTTCTAGGTAAACACAGTTGAATCAATGACCTCTCAATCACTTCATGTGTTTGGGTTGGTTTTTTTTATTGGTTTATTGTTTATTTCTTCTGTGAATACATGTCAGACTTTAGGAGTGAAACTAAGTAACCAATATACTATACAGTAGCACCTAGCTGATGCTATATAGCTTACTACTATCATTAAATAGGTATTTTTAAATATATTTTTTAATTTCAAGGAAAGCAGTTTTAGCTTAAATAAATCAAAGAAATGCTAAGGAACTTTGCTCAAAACTTAAAGCCAGGAAACAGGTTAGGATTCTGTTCAAATAGTAAGTACATGAACCTATCGACAGCTCAAGACAGGATAAAAAATCCTTAAAACAAAGCCTAGGGGAAAATCAGCACTGTTTTAGTCAAAAGTCATAAAATGCTATTTCACCAGTTCAGTCCCACATACTTAATCTATCTTCTGTTGTGTTTCAATCTTCCTGATTAAATTCTGGGATATAATATTCAACTCCAGACTTGTCCCTACAATTAAGTTGGCTATTTTCTTAGTTTTTGAACTTTTATTTCTGTGTGTCTGTATTCAATTTTCCTGGTATAGCACTCCCTTCAACTTCTTGGAGATCTGTTCTGGTGTTGGTAAATTCTTTCAGGTTTTATTTATCTGAGAATGTTCTTGTCTTTTCTTCCCATATGAAGGATAATCTTGCCAGGTACAGTATTCTTGGTTGAAATTGCTTTTTCCTTAACACTTTGAATATGTTTTCCCATTATTTCCTCGCTTGCATTGTTTCAATGACAGGTACACTGTTAGTCTGACGGGATATCCTTTGTAGGTAATGTTTCTCTCTTGCCAATCTTAGTATCTTGTCTTTGTCTGTGGTTTTGGTCAATCTGGCTATAATGTGTCTTGGAGAAGATCTTCTTGGGTTGATTCCATTTAGGGTCCTCTATATTTCTTGGGACTAGATCTTTGAGTGCCTCTCTAGGTTTGGAAAGTTTTCCTGCAGGATTTCATGGAATAGATTATCAATGCCCTTATGAGTCTCTTCACCAGATGTTTGAATGTTTGATGGTACCTTGTATTTCTTGTATTATTATTCTCATTTTGGGGGACAATTTTCTCAGTCTTCATGGTGGGTTTTTCTAGGTCAGTGATTCTGTCTTCTATATCTGAGATTTGATTTTCTGTATGATCTTACCTGCTTTTAGTACTGTCATGGGAGGTTTGGACTTCCTGTATTATAGCCTTCATTTCTAACAGGTCCATTTGATTCTTTTTTATACTGTGTATTTCCTCTTTTAGATCTTGCAAGAATTTCCTCAACTCCTGGAACTTGTCAGATCCCTTCTCCTGCCTCTTCTTCAGTTCATTGTCTCTCTTTTCTTCTATCTCTGTTAGCTTTGTCACAATGAATATTCTAAATTCTTTATTAGACATTTCCATGAGTTTCATTACACTGTCTGAAGATGAAGAGGAGTTATTCTTTTTCCTTGGAGGAGAGATATTTCTTGCTTTTCCATATTTCTTGTGACTCTGTGGTGATTTCTAGTCATCTGATGAGTGGTGCATTTCTTCCTAATTCTTGAAGTTCAATCTGAGCATTCAGAGGCATGCAGAAGAAGGTGATCTGGAAACTCCCTTCTGTTCCATTTTCACTCTTTGTGCTTCAGATTCAGTGGGAATAAAGGAATATTCTGACCCTAATCATATTCAGATGTTTGGATCCTGTTCACTAGGACCTGTCAAGACACTTAGTGTGTAGAGGCTGAGCAGTCAATAAAGATTAAAAAAAAAAAAAAGGAAAAGAACTAGAGAAGAGGAAAGAAGAAGAAAACATAAAATGAAAAGGGAGAAAGAAAAAATATTTTAAAAATTAGATTTTAATTTTAAAAAGCAAAAAATGAAAGCAATATTTCACAGCTCAAGTTCAGTATCCAATCTCAGGATGGGCCTGGGGATGTGTCTTTCCTAAATGAAATGAGGAAAGGCACCAATTAGCACAATAAAGGAAGGGTTTGAGAGCCCAGAGAATACTTTACTTCAAAAAAATTGAAAAAAAAAAAAAAAGTCAGAGGGAAACACAGCGAGACAGAGAGAGACAGAGAAAAATGGAGAGAAGGAAAAGAGGTAGCCCTACCCACTAGAAATGAATCTGGAGGGGGGGA